GTAACCATCGCAAAACCACCTTATTCTCCAGACATGGTCCCGCCTGTGACTTTATCCCATTTCCCAAACTCAAAAGGACACTCAAAGGACAACATTTTTCAACAATACATGAGATAAAGGGCAAGAGCACTGGCTTTTGCATAACACATAATACATAACTCATAAGAGAATAAAGCAATTAGTTTTCTTCATTTCCCTCCTCAGGATAGAAATGAAGAACTTTGATTTGTTGATTCTTCTATGCGTTGTGTACTATGCGTTGTGCAGAAGTCTGTGCTCTGGCCCAAAGGCGAAATCGCAGACCCAGCTGAAGACGCGTACCTAAAGAGGCGTTCCACCAGTGTTTCTCAAACTAGGAAACTACATTGGCGTAAGTGTGTAATATCACAGGGGGACTACTTTGAAGGAGATGGGATTGACATTGAAGATTAAACAAATACTTTCCGAGAAAATTAAAAATTCTCCTTACTTCTCGATCGAACCTCGTATATGAATCTCGAAGAGCGGGGCGTAGCAAAGCATAAAATTCTACAGTTAGGCAGCCAACTTGGCTGGATTCGCAGGTCCGCCGATTTTTGCATGGCACCATATAGACACTCGCGCCGACACACGAGTTAGATCACCGAGCATAAAACGCTACAGTTAGGCACTTAGGCTGACCAGCGTCGTTGATTTCGATCGTCCCGCCGTTCTACGGTACTCTTCATGGTCGCTGGCCACGTTGCGCGAGCGTGTAACTCGTGGTAGGCGTGCGCGATCGAGGGGGACAACACGGAGAAATAATGTACCGGCTTGCAGCAGCGACGAAACGAAAAAATGCCGGGCCGGGCGTAAAAATGTCGAGTGAATCTCGAGAACGCGACCGTCGTCCTCGAGGAACGTCCTCGGCGGAGAGGAGGCGTCTCGCTCGACGAGGAGTCGGAGCGCTCGCGCGCGCGAAGGAGAGAAACGGACGTAATACGAAAATCGCTACCAGGAAGGGACCGGCCGTAAAGGGATCCTGAGCCTCTAATGGTTACACAGTGTGCGCAGGCTTCGAGATTATGAGAGATATCTGTAGGTAGGCCGGCCGGGGAAAAGAGTCGAGGTAGAATAAAAGGTGGACGAGAGGAACGTCTCTAAGCCGAGGAGGATGAAGCGGGGAAAAAAGACAGCAGGCTTGATAGTGGCGCGACCGGGCAGAGAGGGAGAGAGAGAGAGAGAGAGAGAGAGAGAGAGATAGCGTCGTTGAATAATCAACGACGGTAGCCAGCCAAGGTCAGCGCCAACCCCTCGGCTACGCGACTCGGGTACGCTCTTCATCATCGCCGTAACCCGATTTGTTCCCGACGAAAGTGCCAGTCGCTTCTTTTTACCACGATAGCGTGTTTACGTTCCGTCTTATGGATGGGCAACTTCACGCGAATCCGCGTACGGAGCTCCATCATCGTTCTCGCACGGCACTCGCGGGGAATCGTCGTCGTCGTCGCTGTCCCGCGTCGCCGGCGGCTGCTCGCCGCGCGACGATGCGTCGTGACGCGAACAAAAGTGAAGTGATACCCCGGCGGTGTCGCGCAATCAAGAGTTAAACAGGAAACGGAGAGGAGAAAAGAGAGGAAGAGCGGCGAGCGAGAGGCCGCGAGAGAGTGGTCGCGACGCGATTCCTCCTTAAATCCGTATCATCAACCTTCCGTCCCGTTTAGGCAATTAGACCGAGGGATCCTCCCGAGCGCGCGAGTATGTAGGAACGCGCGCGCGCGACCTTCCGTGGAAACGTGGCTGAACTCGCGCGCGTTTCCCTCAGTTTTCCTCCGACAATTCCCGTGCGAGCCGGTAACAATGTTCGCGTGTGCATAACGACCGCTATTATAAACCGGCGGGTCTTCAATTTGTTGTTTCGCGGCTCTTTCCTGGAAGGAGAAAAACTCTGGGCAACGGGGGTAACGAGTCTGCGCGACATTGTTCGCAGGATTTCCTTGCTCCAGCAGCCTCTAACAACGTCCTCGAAGCGGTCGCTCCGCGCCGGGATAGTCAGCTTCTCTTCTCCGTGACTTGCACACTCACGGTCACTCTTTTCTCCTCTTCTCTCCCTCTCTCTCTCTCTCTCTCTCTCTCTCTCTCTCTCCTCTCTCTCCTCTCTCTTCTCTTGAGAGAGAGAGAGAGAGAGGAGAGAGAGAGAGAGAGAGAGAGGTGAGTAGAGCGTGATATAGCTTAATCGTTAGACCAATTACATTCCGGTAGCATCGACAAGAAGCACCAAAGATGCCGATATGCACACGTGTGCACATCCGTGTGTGTGTGTGTGTGTGTGTGTGTGTGTACATTTGATGTACACGCATTCTGCATTCGCGTTAAAGCGTAACGGTGGCAGCGGTCACCGCGGCTTTTCTTACGGGACGATCCCGAAGCTCGAGCTTTTACTCCGGCCTCCCCAAGCTAACGAGGTATCCTATCCGCCCCGTTTTAATTGAATTTCTTCGGGTTTAATCTTAATCGCGATGTATCGACGCGCGGCCGCACGTGGCAGCATAATTTTACGATTGCATTAGTCCGCGACGACGTTTCTCGATCGGCACCACCGGTCTTTACAGTTATCCCCGAGCTTGAAATCGACCGACTTTTACCACCTAGATCGCACGAGCGTGTATCTTTCTCCCCCCTCCCTCTCCTCTCTCTCTCTCTCTCTCTCTCTTTCTTTTCCCCGTCGTTCGTAAAAGTCGATCCCTTGTCATTGATACGGCTCGTAATGTTCGCAGTCGTTGCAGTCGTGCGGCGATATATAAATACCGTCGCTTAACGATCGCTTCGCATAGCTAACGATCGCACGTCGGGCTTCGCGCGCGTTCCAGTGAACCAGATACGCTCCTCGGCGTCCTGCCGGCTCGTAAATTCAGATCGTCCTGCTATTAATCGGCCCGACGATGCGATGGTGCGAGCGAGAGACGACCTGCTAACGAAGGACGACTCGAGCCTCGACGCGACGCGACGCGACACGAGAGAGAAACAGAGAGAGAGAGAGAGAGAGAGAGAGAGAGAGAGCGAGAGAGAGAGAGAGAGAGAGAGAGAGAGACCGAGACCAGCGTACCTCCTATAAAAATAAATTACCACGAGCGACCCGAGATGCGATTTCAGATCCCTCCGCGTCCTCTGTCACTAAGGATAGTCTCCCGCGCGCCAGGAACGCTTCCTCCGCGCCAGAATCTCGCGATACGCGCGCGGCTGATATTTTTCAGGACTCGCACCGGCCTGCATCCCGCAACCGCCTGCGGTTCGACAAGGTCCGTTCCGGCAGACTTGGCGAAAATCGCGGGGACTCTCTCTCTCTCTCTCTCCCTCCTTCTCCCTCTCTTTCTCTTCGTCTATCTATCTACCTATCTCTCTCCCTCTCTCTCAACGGGCAAGAGAGAGGATAGTGATTTCGGTCGACCGCTGGCATTCCATCGCCGGCGCAGATCCTATCGACTCCCTCGCGCCGCTCAAGTTCGTGGATAACAGTTTCACGGACCGACGGCTGTTACGTCGCGACCGCCATTACGTTTACGGTGCTGCATAGACGGCACAGGCGCGCGTCCACGTAGGCGCTGCGAGTCCTGCCGCGATCCGCGCGCGACGCCTCGCAAAAATGATCGGCCGATGATCGTGAAGGCGCGCGGCGTTTTAGCAGCTCGGCTGGAAATTACAGGTTCTCGCAGGCCGAGCGAGGCCGGGCCACTTCTCGGCCGTTCGACACGTCTCGCGTTTACTTAGCGCGTCCGCGCGGCGTTATTTTAATCGCACGCGCGGACGTGCCGCACGTCTTCGCGCGGTCCTCGCGCGCGCGCGCGCACGGCAGGTAGTAGCAGTAGCAGCAATAGTAGTAATAGTAGTAGTAGTGCACGGCCGGTAATAATGACCGCCGCTCGCCGCGTTAAACGCCGCTCGTTAGGCAACGATGAATGTTATTAACATAATTGTATGCGCTAAATGCCGCATCGCCGCGGCGCTCGCGCCGGCGCTGCGCACCGCTGTTCTCCGAAAATCGCGACCGCGCCGCGGCGCGGCGTCGCGTGTCCGCCGGCCGTCCGCGGAATTTCACGACCGCGATCTCCGATCCCGAGCTGCCTAATTAGAGACGAACGACAGGAAGACGGGAAAAACGAAGACGCACGCGCTCACGCATCCTCGAGGGATCCGCCGCGCCGGCGCGCCGGTGCGGAATCATCACAGAGCATTTTTCCCATTTTTTATCCTTACATCCTGCTCCTAGACGTTTATTACTGTCGTTCTCTACGCGGGGAAAAATGCCCCGCAATTGGACGGAGAGACAATTTTCCGCGGAGATTCGGAAATTCCGATTAAAGTTGCTAGAATTTATTCTGAATCCTGACATCTTCAATCGAGATTTCGGAATCGTTCATGCTTCACCGGGAAACTGCTTTATTCGATCAAACACGCTACATGTCACCCCCCCCCGGCGACAGCGCACCCCCGCGGTCGGTTTTTCACCCCCGTATCACTCGCACAGGCATCGTGCCGCGGCCGATAACGCGGCCGAGCCGCGACAGGCCGGTCGACAAAGATAGATCAGAGCTTGACGGCGCGAGAGAACTAAAGAGAGAGTTAGAGAAAGAGAGAGAGAGAGAGAGAGAGAGAGAGAGGGGGGAAAAACGGTAAAATGTCACTGTTCCCTAATTACGCCGAGTAACTAGCCGGCCGTAGGAAGCGAGCGGATGAAGGAGAAGAGGAGCAAGAGCAGCGAGGGAGTAAGAGAAAGAGAGAGGGGGAGAGAGAGAGAGAGAGAGAGAGAGAGAGAGAGAGGGAGAGAGGAGGAGGACGCATGGAAACACCACGGCGCCGCGGAGGCAGTCGATCCCCCAGGATGGAGCCGCGGTACCGCTAGATCCGCGCGCCAATCGTCGGGCGTCTTTAGGCGGCCTTCTCCAATCGTTCCCCGGTTATACGCGGCGAGTAGCCGCGACCACCACTCGGCACGGCCGGTTTATAAAGTCAGGCGGATGCGCTGCCTGAAAGACAGAGCCGTGCCGACAGTCCAGCCAACAGGAGCGTCTTTTTTCTCCCTCCTTACGTCAAGGCCGAACGGAACAGTGTTCACGGTCGCGCGTGTGATCTCGGCGACCCGGTGTCGAAATCCCGGCGGAGAGAGATTGACTGATCGCGGTCTCTCTTTCTCTCTTTCCCCGCCCCCCCCCCCGTCCTCATCATCATCGTCACGCACGTCGCCCGTAGTCCGCTCGCTCGAGAGAGGCAAGGGACTCTCTTCGCTCGACGTGCTTCGGGAACAAGTAAACGGCGAAACGCAAAGACTCTAGCCAGTGATTGGAGCTATCGAGTGATTAGAGAGAGAGAGAGAGAGAGAGAGAGAGAGAGACCGGAGGTGAATCTGGGAATCCGGGATCGCGGTATCAGTGGATAGCAGCAGGCGGTCAAGGTACGTGCAAGGGATATCTGCTGGTGCTAAGTCTGGTGCGGGAAGTGTCGCGTATGATTCACGCGCGGAAGCGAGCTCGCGCGAGCGAGCAAGGGCACGGCCGACGAGGCATTCTCTCGCGACCTGGTAAAAAGTGTCAATGACCAGACGGGTTCGTCGGCTGAGAAGGCTGCGGACGGAGCGGAATCGCCTCACGATCCCGTCCGTAGCGGAAGTGATAGCGCGAATCGTTCGCGCGCCGGCATTCGTCGAGCGTTCGCGGAGCGGAGCGGAGCTCCTCCTCGGCGGTGCCTCGGCAGCGAGAGAACTCGAAGAGAACTCTCCCGCCGCGCGTCCGGTGTACCGATATATTTCGCGGCGACGAGGACGCCTTGTTGAGTGCGGTAGTTTTGCAAAACTACAGGGATATGTTGTAAATTCCGTCCCGGAGAGCAGGAGAGAGAGAGAGAGAGAGAGAGAGGGGGAAAAGAGAGTGCGTTATCTTCTTCTCTCAGTCTGTCTTCCTGTCTTGCTCTCGCGCGAGAGATACCTCTTCGGGGTCAGAGGACTCGTCCGAGCGACGACGAGGACGCGAATCGCGCGCATGGGCACGAAATAAAAGGTCTCCTCGCCGATTACCGGCGCTGCTCTCTCTCTCTCTCTCTCTTTCTTTCTCCGGCGTGGCCGCCATTCCCACGGCGAGAGGGAAAGAGAGAAGAGAGAGAGAGAGAGCTCGGTTCAAAGTCAGGGCCGTAGCTGTTGAGCAATCGCGCGATAATAGGCATGCGGTCGTTACAAAAGCGCACAAGCTACGCCCCGAGAGGAGAGAAGGTCTCTCTCGTGTCTCTCAAGGATGAGGTGATTAATCTCCGTGCACCTCCGTATGGAGGAGGTGGGACTCTCACCTCGGCGGGACACCTACGTCTCTGTGCGGAACGTAACGGCGGAATCTATTTTGACGTGCGACAAAACGCGCCGCGTTTGAACGTTCTCTTCATCCTCCTCGTCTTCTTCCTCTCCTTCATCTCTTCTCCTTCTCCTTCTTCTTTCAGCTGTATACTTATTTATATTCCGCGGGAGAAACGCACCGTCGGCCGATTCTCTCTTTCTCTCTCTCTCTCTCTCTCTCTCTCTCTCTCTCTCTCTATCTATCTCTCTATCCTCCCCCTCCCCCTTTCCCTCTCTTTCTCGCCAAGTATTTTACATAAGCGTATAAAATAGTCGTTCGTCGTAGCCACGGCGCTTCAAAGGGTTATTGTTGCCTACTAATGGCCGCGAAAGGTACGGTTTCTTTCAAACGCGACACTCGAGTGCGTGCCGCACCGCGGCTGCACGGCACCGAGGGCGTGAAAACGAAACTCATTTCTCTTAAGCGGCGTGTGACGCATACGCACGACTCGATTCCCGGTCTCGTTCGCGACGTTGATTTGCCTCGCGCTCATGGATTAACCTTGCACTCGCGTAACGAATGAGAAAAGGAGAGATAGGGGGAGAGAGAGAGAGAGAGAGAGAGAGAGAGAGAGGGAGGGAGGGAGAGGGAGGGAGAGGGGAGAGAAAGAGAGAGAGAACACTCACCGCCGCGCACAGAATAGCCCCTTCAAGGTCGAAGAGATTATTCTTAGTTGAACGCGAGAAAATGGACGCTCGTAACAGAGACTTCGATGCCGCAACGCACGGTCGTTCACACAGCGCCTGTAATTTATGTAACGTCTGTCAATAATTTTTCCAACCTCGTCTACAACCTAATTAAGCTATATACGCGCGGTTGTAAAGGCCTGCGTGCGTATTGCGTGCGTGCATGAGCGAGCAAGGTTCTCTTTTGAACAGGCAACAGGCACGCACGTTGCGCTGCCGAAGTAAGCGTCGAATTTTCGTGTATTCGATCTACGTGTCCCGAATATTCATGCTGGTATGCCCGTTAGTCATCCACGGCGCGCCGGTACGTCGACCTCCCGCCCGACGGATCCGGAATTACCGAAATTAGCCACCTGCTCCGTCTCGCGGAGTCTCAATTACGTTGAGTCTTTTTATAGAATCTCAATGCGAGGCGCAGAGCGAGCGAGCGTGAGAGGGGCGTGGAGTGAGAGGGGGAGTGAGGTCTCATCTCGTCTCATTTCCTCTCCAATTATTTAACACAAGCCACGCACGCTACGCCGGACGGGACGCTCAGGTTTCGCGCGATTAATATCGACTACTCGCCGCGCGAGGCGAGATGCGCGCAGGCGAGTCTCCCCTCGCCGTGAAATAGCGCGCGCGGCGCGCTCTCTCGCTCTCTTGGCGAGCGCGCTCAAATCCGCGCGCTCTCGCGATTATCCGAGCGCCTGTGCGCGCCGCGCCGCGCCGCGGGGATTTCAACGCCAGCTGCGCCGCCGCGCCGCGCCACGGCGACGAAGTGGCTCTCGATCCGGAGAGTTCAACGCCAGGGAAGCGTGACGTCTTCCTCCGATACCGCTCTCGCGCTCCACGGAGGAGTCTCTTCCGTGAAATTTACGAGTCATTTGTTTCTAGGAAATAGCGCGGCGCTTTTTCGCCGCGCCTCGTACCTCGTCGAGCGTCGACCGGCTCGTTCGCGGTTTGCCCGGCATTTTGCGATAGATTCCTCGTCGTATCAGTATCCGGGAGAAATCCCGGCACCGCGCTCGGCGCAGCGGCGAGCTTAGAGCGCGTCTACTTGCAAAGTGCGTTCTCTAATCATTAACGCGCATTTTCCGCCTCTCGACGGCGCGGGCGGCTTGTCGCCGAGTCCCGGATGAATCGCTCTGACCTGACACTGTTTGCTTGCGACGATAATTATCGCTTCACTGATTAGTATTCCCTCCTCCCCGCGCGATGCGTGTAATTTAGACGTAGTTTTCTCGAGCGTACAAATCAGCGCCGCTCAACCGCCGCTTAAAATTCGCGCGCGTTCCCACTCGAGGGACCGCAAACAGCCGAGGATCGCGCTCGAGAAATCTCCAAAGACGCGTCGCGCGTAGGGATGCCGATTTTAAATCGATTTAATCGAAGATCGATTAATCGGAGCCTAAAAGATCGATGTCAAATCGATTTTCTGGAACTGCATCGATTCAAGGATCGATCTGTAAATTCTGAAAATCGCCAACATGATTTCTTCAGTTTCTACCAGTAATATAATTTCTCTTTATTCTTTTTAGTTGCAACATTTAAACTCACTTAATGGCTGCACGATGTACATTACGTTGCCTTTAGGCCGATGTCCCACGGGCGAAAATTTTCAGCGGAACGGAACGCGCGAACCAATCACAGCCACTCCATATAATAGTATAATAGTATATATTATATACATATGTATATGCATATAACGGTAAACGTGATTTCTTATTTAATAACGTTTAAAAACCCTTGTTCGATGTTTAATCAAACTAATTAAATCCTTAGCATAAAGATTTAAAGATCTTTTTCTATCTTGTTGTGGCCACACACAACACAACACAACCAAAAGAGTACCATCTGTTTAATTTCTTTAATTCATATTAAACTTTATATGAATTACACGAGGTCTACTTTAGAGTGTAGACATTTGACAGATAGTATAGGCTAATGAGCAGTTCACTTTACATGCATACCGATTCAAATCGATTTTCTGAAATCGACTCTTTACAAACAGATTTTTTAAAGATCGATTTTTTCTTCGTGACTCGAATCGATCTGTAATCGATCTGTTTGAAAAAAAATCGGCATCGCGCGGCCGTTTCGATCGATATGACGCCATCGCTTGCGAATCCTCCCGAAACGCGGTAACATCTCCTCGTCGCACTTCTTCCCCCCCCCTATCTATTTTGCATACCGCGATCGTCTTCGTGCTCGTCCGTATCACACCACGGGCCCATATCTCTGGCAGCGTACTTTTCCTCCACCGCGCACTTATTAGCACACCTCAATCTACCCTCTCACTACAGACAGCTTAAAAATTGCCCTCTCATTCGCGCGATTGCGTCATTTGCGCATCTGCACGTACCGCCGCGCGGAATTTTACTTCGCCGCACATTTTAATGATTTACGCGAGTAGAATATCCTGCGCTTGTAAAGTTGCCGCTTCTCCTCGGGGGAGAGGGGGGGGGAAGGAGATTTTCTTAACGCCACGGTGATAAACCGGGAGCGCCATTTTCCGAGCAGAGCAGAGAGACTGTTGTTTTCACGACGCGAAAATTTGCTCCCCCGCGAAAGAGGAGAAGCACGCGAATGAGGGCAACTCAATCGACGACATGACACGGCGGTCAACGTGTTTCCGGCTGACTCGAATCAGCTCGGCCCGCTGACACAGCTGACACTCGCCGATCGAAAGCGCAACAAGAGCGCCACGGAGGGGTCAGGGAACTCCGTACGCGCGAGATCGCCGGATAACGCTCGGTTTTATTGGCCGACTGCCCCGGATGATTCGTGTAATTGCATCGTGTGTTGCGCCGGCGAGGAGCGACCTTCGTGTCGGTCACGGTGCGCGACATGCGAGAGCGTGCCGCCCTCGCGATCATCGTCGCGGATTCGCGGAATCGTTCCGACGCGACGTGGACAACCCGGTATCAGGGCACGATTAGCGCCAGCGACAATGGACAATTTGCAGGAGAATAGAGCGGATGTTCGAACGAGAGAGACGCGCTCTCGCTGTTGTCCGCGGGTGCAACGTTCACCGCGCCCCGCTACCCGCTCCGAGTCGCCGTCGTCGTCGACGTCGACGTCGACGTCGATGTCCCGCTCTAACACGACAATCCTCTTTTCTCCGAACGGGATCGCTTTTTGCCACGATCGCCGGCGAGGTTCACAACGGCGTTCTTCCGAGGACTCTCCGGTGGGGCGGGGAGGGGGGAGGTGAACAGAGGCAGGCGTGCGATCTCTTTGATCTCTCTGCGCCGCGTAAATTTTTCGCGAGGAGGCTACTCCTGGAAAATTTCGCACGATCACGCGAGTTTTGTACGCAACTGATAAAAACTAAACTTTTTTCAAGTGGAGAACAAGGGCTTAGCGCGTAGCTGATAGCGATTCAGTACAACTTTGTCGTCACTGTC